TTAGGATTAATGTTATTTTAGGATGAGAATATTTCTTTTAGGAGATTGTGGGATTTGAATCTTAAATTAGTTTTAAAAGGAGACAGAGGAGTTTTTGGGGACCACGCTCTTCTCTCTTCTCTTCTCTGAAATTTTCTTTCACTTGAGTTTTTGTGATGGCCATGAGCGGCTAAACTTTTGTAACTTGGTCGAAGGAAACGGAAACTCGGAATCAAATAAACTGTGAATCTTTCTGTTTTTAGTGTTATTCATGTTTGAGTATTGAATGTTATTCTGTGCATATTTTCATGATTGATGCATTTAATTACTAGGAGCCTACTAGTGTATTATTTGTTGAAATCTACTGCTAAGTTTGATATCAAATCCGTAATTGTTTGATCCCTCCAACTTGTGAAGCAACTAGGGTAAGTAATTTGCTGCGTCAGGAATTGTAACCTTACGAAGAAACTTCAACTAAATTAAATACAACCGCTTGTGTGTGTTTGTTTAGCTTCGTCGATCTCTCTAATTCTTAAGGCTGCCACTAGATTAAATCTTGAGCGCTTGTCTAGGGTTGTTTAGGGGTAAGATTAATTAGGATCGCTTGTTTCCTATTAATTACAATTAGGAGAGATAGGAAATTATTTTCAACGGTGAATATTCAATTTGAATTGATTCTTTGCATCAATGATCAGTTATAAGATTCTGATGGTGGATGTTGATAGAGACCAAGTTTCGTTATATAATTGAATTCGAATTAATTGTTTTTTTTGTTTTTGCAGATGTTGTTCTGTTTTACACAAAACCCCCCAGCTTTATTCACATAACTCAAATTCCTGACACTCTTCGTGGGATCGACCCTGACTTACACTACTACGTGTATTTTTAGGTTTTAATTCTGGGTGCCTACGACAGCTGCCATCTCCACCAAGTCTTTGTTCTACTTCTCTTGAGCAGATACCAACTTCTGAAGATGAGCCCCTCCAGATAAAGCCTACAAACAACGAAACAACAGCGTTAGTGACAATAAACCAAAAACTTAGAACGTAACTCTACGAAAATAGTTACCTAAAACATTGGGTGGTCGTCCACTCGGCCACGAAATAGCGTCTTCCGTGCCAAAGCTGTTCATCTTCAAGGAGCGAGTGAGATTCCACCACGGTCTTGACACAATGTAGTGTCGTAATACGTCAAGCAAAGAAAGGGATGGAAATTTTCACGACACCTCATTGTTAGGAACCTCCACCTGCAGAGCCGGATCAGTAGGCTGCACAGTCTTCTAGATGGGATTAGGTGGAACAAGCCCAGTAAGAATATAGGGATCACTTGTTTCAGTTCTCCTTCTCTTTTTGGCCGACTTGGTTCGCCTTCTCACGAAGGTCTTTGACATTGGACTTGGAAATGTCTTTTCATTCTTTCTTCTGCAAGGGAGAGTGTCTTTTGGGGTTAATGTGTAGAGTTGACTTACCAAAGATGAGGAAATTGCAGTATCGAACCAACAAAATGTACAACACAGCCTCCAAGGTGGAAACGAGATATCTTGAATTATTTCCAAAATGTGTCTCCACAAATGACTTTGCCTAAGGTTTGACTCTACCAGTACACAGCGATAGTTCCTATCCTCATCTGGAATCCAAGTATGCATGACTCCTTTCCTCAAACAAGTAACCCCAGCAATGTGTGGTTGTAAGACAAGTTTGCCAAAAAAGGAACAATGAGATTCAGTACTCCAACGAAAATTAAAGATTCTAAAATTACTCACCCGTTGCCTGCTAGAGTAGGGGATCACCCCGGCTCTGTTCTCCCCAAAAACAAGTTTCTCTCTCACAAAGAAGTATAAATCTTTCCACTTCTTATCATAGGTCTTGAGCCCTATCACTAAATGTCTGCGGTCATGCTGCAGCATAAAAAGGTATCGATCCCTTTCTTTGCCATGCTTCTAATATGATAAGTAAAGACAAATCCACCACTCCAAACCCTATCTTCAACCTTGTGCATAAATACTCCAATGTAAGCAATAATCTACATCCATTTGGCATTAACTGACTAGGGGCAATCATATATGGTTTAGCACCTCCCGCGTCAATCTCGATATCGGGATCTTAATCCACAATCAGAGTCTGCTTATATATGCGATCTAACCTGGCACCAAGCAATCACCTCTCATGCCAAGCAGGGACCCTGATCTCTATCGACTCGGTATCTTATAGAGATACTAAGTCTCGACGCGTCCCCTAGGACAAGCTTGGAAAGAGGATTGTCTTCAGCATACTACCCCTTGGTGGCTTGGCTCGTCCCCATGATCGTCACTAGCGACGAAACCTCCTCCCTTCCAACTGACTCAACGTCAGAGTCACTCTCGGTTCCAGTATCATATTCGAATTGCCACCGCTGGAACCACTCTAACTCGGTTCTGCATTTAGATTCCTTGACGCGCCCGCCCACATGCAAGTTATGTTCACACACCCTAATTGAGCTTGCTCTTCACCTTTAGGAAGCACGATGCTCGTAGGAGCGTTCCATAATCATCTTTACCGACAGTTTTCATCACTCGACTCGGCAAATGTCAGTCGATGCACTCTCCACATGTACAGCCACACAATTTTTTAACAAGAGACATCCAGCTGCGCGCCCTAGAATTCACCACTTCCAGTATCCACAACTTCCTCATGACTCGACACTGCCAAGATTACAAATCAAAACAATCACTAGTTACCTATGATCGGCTCGGCCAAACCAACCCTAGCTCAATTCCTCTCAAAAGACAGGTTTGCCCCTCTTCTCCCTCTTTCAGACCAAACCAAAAACCACTTTCCCCTCGAAACCAACCAAAAACTTGAGAAAAAATCCACTCTTCTCACAAAACCCAAACTCTAGATTCAACTTAGCCTCAAACTACCTCAAAACAACGCCTAAATACTCAAAACTTACTCACGAACACAAAAGGAGCAAATAACAAGTAAAAACCGAAAGGAAAACGAGAATTTACTGTGAGATTGGCTGGAAAAAACCAACCTTTGAAAGAAAAACTCTATCACTCTCATTTTCTCTCTCTTGAAGTCAAGTCTGTGATTTGAAATAAACCCAGAACGAAAGACCTCATATTAAAGGCAGGTCCTATCACTAGAGGACACGTGGTAGGCCCGCATTGGGACTCAGAGGAAAAACTTTTAATTTCCTGCCTCTTGCACCCACACAAGCGACCACACGAAACAAGACACGTGTCTATCCTCGTATTCGCTTCCGAGACCGCGTGTCACCTTGATAAGGCATAACTCGGACGTCTATTGCAGATCAAATCTTTTAGAGGCTTGAAGTTTACATTTTATTACTTTGTTTAACCCCATTCGGCCACTTCATGCAACATACACGGATTCTTGATAGCTTCACCAACCACTTGACGCGCAACTCCAAAGGTCACATAACCCTCCAATCGACTCAGCTCCGATCCATAGATTCTCCATTTGACTACCCTATACACCCGAGATGGAACGACAAGGGTCTTCAATTACTCACCCACCATCATAGTGTGACAATCTCCAGCCATATTGGTGTTCCACAGTTTTCATTTTATGACCCATGGTCTCTCCACAGCCCAAGCAGCGCCGGACAGTCCCATTTTTGGGATTTAACCAAGGCCACATCCCACTCCACTCGATTGATGCAATTCTCTCGCAAAGTACCGCCAAACCAAGTGAACATAAACTGATTAATTGGAACTACCTCAGACGAGATCCTCGCAATCTTTTTTCTGTTCGGTTTGATTATTAAGATCGAACCAAGGTAACCGTGTCCCAAGACACCATGACGGTTAGGTCTTCCTCCTAGGAATACTGACCTATCTATATCCCAAATATGAGCAAATGAATCTACTCTTTAAGTTAAATACCCTTTACTTAAAGAGTGGGGACAACTATATAGGCCAAAAATCATATTGGACCTGACGAGGTCCATAACAAAATAACAATGTCATGGCCCAAAGGCCTTAGCCCAATTCCGGTTAGGCCTACGCTTAAATTTTCTTGTGAACTGCCCACTCTATGAGTTGGACTACCCTACGAGTTAAGCTGAATTGGGTCTGGCCCATTTGCCCACAACAGTCCACAAAGGGATCAGAATCCCACTCAATTTCCTCTTATTGTAGGATCTCGTATCCTATCCAAATTGGAAAGCCTCAACTAATAAAGCAACGAATCTGACTTCTTCCCAAATTGGAACTCCTCTACTGAATAGGATTCAGAATCTTACTAAGATACCATCCCCATGGGTTCATTATATAAGGAGAGCAAACCCTCTTATCAGGTTTTCATAAATCACCTACCAGTTCTCGCATTCTAGCTCTCAAGCCGCCGAAATATCTGTACGTCTTCCTAGTGCTACCTCAACCCTAATAGCCTTCATTGCCTTCCCCGCAAGTCCATCAGATTGTTAGTGGCTCGCAACACAAGATTTGATCCTTGTATTTGTAACCGTAGATTTTACCGTCTACACATATATCCGAAAGCACACATTAAACAACCAATTTGATATACATAACCATTAGTCATGCATATTTTAGCCCTGAAAATATCCAAATCTTGAGCTTTATGAAGAAGATATTTCAGCAGTATATGTGTGTCACTTTATTAATTTTAATTAAAAATTTGAACACTCATCCAGCTTACTTAAGTGTGATTATTAATGTGGACGAACCGGCCAACCACTTTGATTCTCTCCTCAGCCGACTCATCTATTAAGTTGGGGGTTAACCATCCCTTTCACATAATGTGTTTAAACGCTAAATTTCTTTCTCTCTCTTTAGCCCTCCGAATAATCCGGCGCTTGCTGGGATGACCATCCTCTCATTAATGTCCACCACTTGTATATAGTATCTACATTTCGACACCCGCATATATATATGTTTCCAAAAGGAAAAAAAATCTTACACAATTCCATTACTTGCCCACTTCAACAAAATAAATGATCCTCAATACCACTTTTTGTTTTTGAAAACCTTTTCAAACAAAGTAGTTCGAAAAATAATGGTGTCATCAGAAGATTTCAGTTTTCCAAAGATCAACTACCCTCTTCCTAATTTTGCAATCTCTCCATCGTTGTGGCGAGTCTCTTCTATAGTTTATCCGGATTCTCACGACGCCGGCGAAGCGAGAGAAGAAGCAGATGTTTCAAGGAGGAGCTTCTCTGTTTGCTATCTAAATGAAGATAAATTATCCAAGAAAGAGTGCGGCGAGGAGAAGATGGACATGTTGTGGGAGGACTTCAACGAAGAAATCGAAAGGGTCGTTTCGAATTCATCGATGAAGGAGGAGCAGGAGGAGAAGAAAGAGACGGTAAAATTATCAAGCGGGCATGGACCCCGTTCAAGTGAAACGATGGTTGAGCTTTGTTGTGCTCAAGCTTTGCAGATGTCCAGTTCGGGAAGGCCTAGCAGCAGTAGTACTAGTATCGTAGTGGTCATGAAGATTTTGAAGAAACTTTTCTTGCTTAAAAAATTCCCATAGAATTAAGAAGAATTATTAATCAGATTAAGTATCAAAGGTTTGGCAAAAAAAATTAGAATCAGAAATTTTATATAGTTCATATTTCTGTTAATTTATTAGGGGTTTTACTTCTTCTATATAATGGGTTCATGACTGATAGTAGTTATCTGTTAATGAAATAAAGTGCTTTAACTTTTATCGCATTGCTTGGGCTGACTTCTTCTTCTTCTTTTTTATTTTTATTTTATGTTATTTAAATGAATTATATTTTGCATATGAAAGTATAAAATCTTTATTATGTTATTTTATATATTTAAGTTTTGAAAGGTTATGACAAATATATCTGGGTTGTAATATATCATAGATATTCACCTTCATTGGGTAAATGTATTTATATTTTATATTGCAAATATAGAATATTATAATGAAAGAAAATCCTTATATATCATGATAAATATCAAGTGTTCAGAATTCAGATGATGTTTCCAAAAGGATTGATTCTGTTAATTTGGAATAATGTATAGACTAAAACACTGACGATTTGCTGGAGTCAACCATGGTAGCCTTGACCATGACTCACCAGTGGATAACACGTCCTTTATGATTTGGGAGTCTCCCATTCAGTCCATGCCCTCTATATTAGACACGTGGACTGTTTCTTATTTTAAGTTTGTATTATAAAAGCCAATTCACGTTCGACCAATTACATGATGCCATTACTTCTGAGCTATTGCAAGTGAGTCTGAGGTTGATAAACTTGTTCCGTAATAACTTCTTTCTTAAATAATAATTCAAAATTTATTTTATAAATATATTTTAAAAATAATTATGGAACAATTTATTTCTTCTATAATTTATTTTATTGGATGATTCCAAAAGCAGACTGATAGAATAGGAACAAGTTGTTTTGCTAGGAACGTGTTGAGGATGATATACCAAATGATAGAATAGGAATAAGTTGTTTTATTAGGAACGTGTTGAGGATAATTGAATTATAACTCTAAGGAAACTAAGTCCTTAAAACCTTAATCTTGAGACGCCACAAAAGTTGATCACTTCCTTTGATAAGTCGAGATTCAAACATTCAATCAAGAACACAAGAGGGCAAAGCAAATAGCTTTATGAAATAAACTTCAATTGATAATAATCTGTCCCCAAAAATAACATGGCGGCTCCTTTTTATAAGCAACAAACCCTAAAAGAAAACCCTAGCTAATTGAAAAACGAGTTGGGCCTAAGTACAAGCGAATTGGGTCTAAATAAACCTTAAATAAGTAAAAGACTAAAGAATCTAATGATAATTAAAACATAAAAAAAACCCAAGATTAAATAAACGAAAATTAATTCCTAAATTAATCCTTGCATCTAACTTGATCTTCCGAATCTACCCCTTGCATAAAAAGATAATAGGTCATCCTTGGTGAAGCTTTAAAATCTTCAAATTTAGTCTTAGAATCTTCTAGTACAACCTCTTTGTATTGCACTTCCATGATCACGCCTTGTAAAGCCTCTTTCATCCTCTTTGTCTTTGCCTTAGTCATTGGACCGCCAATTCCTTGCAAAGGATCTTGAGAATATTTGGGAACATCAATTTGGTCAGCACCTCTATCTCCATTATTCCCCTCCTCTTCGAAAGGATTCGTCCTCGAATCTTCTACATCAAACAAAGATAAATCAGCAACATTAAAAGTTGCACTAACATTACCATAGTCGCTTGGCAAATCTAGCTTGTAGGCATTATCATTGATCCGCTCTAAGACTTGAAAAGGTCCATCTCCTCGAGGCTGCAATTTTGATTTCCTTTGTGTGGGAAACCTTTCCTTATGCATGTGCACCCAAATCCAATCTCCAGGTTGGAAGACAACCTTCAAATGCCCCTTATTGGCCTGCTTAGCATATTGCTCATTCTTTCTTTCAATGTTGGCCCAAACTCTGGCATGTAAATCCTTCACAAAATCTATCTTTTTCTTACCATTAAGATTAGCATGCTCATTAGTAGGCAAAGGTAAAATATCCAAAGGTGTTAAAGGATTAAAGCCATAAACAATTTCAAAAGGAGAAAATGAAGAGGTAGAATGAACAGTCCTATTATATGCAAACTCAATATGTGGCAAACACTTCTCCCACTGCCTTAAGTTCTTTTGAATGATAGCACGCAATAGTAGAAAATAATAGTTTGGTTCCTAATTTATTCCATAAAGTGCGCCAAAAATAACTTAGAAACTTAACATCTCTATCACTAACAATTGTCTTAGGCAACCCATGCAAACGAACCACTTCTTTAAAGAACAAATCAGCAATATGTGTTGCGTCGTTTGTTTTAGAACGTGCAATAAAATGAGCCATTTTGCTAAACCTATCAACAACAACAAATATGCTATCCTTACCACTTTGAGTCCTTGGTAATCCTAAAACAAAATCCATAGATATATCAATCCAAGGTTGATTAGGTACAGGTAAAGGGGTATACAAGCCATGCGGTCTAACTTTAGATTTTGCTTGCCTACATGTAATGCACTTATCACAAACAGATTGCACATCGTGCTTCATATTAGGCCAATAAAAATGCTTATGTAATATATCTAAAGTCTTTAGAACACCAAAGTGACCCATCAAACCTCCCCCACGACTTTCCCTAACAAGCAACTCACGAACAGAACAAATAGGCACACATAATTTATCTTTCTTGAATAGAAATCCTTCATGCCTATAAAAGTCACCAAACGCACACTTATCACATGCATTCCATACTTGGCTGAAATCAGAATCATTGGCATACAAATCCTTAAGCAATTCAAAACCAAGTAATTTAGTTTGCAATGAAGTAAGTAATACGTATGCATCAACCACAACGTTTTCCTTCCCATGCTTGTATTTGATTACATAAGGAAACGTTTCTATGAACTCCAACCACTTAGTATATCTTTTATTAAGCTTACCTTGGGTCTTCAAGAACTTCAAGCTCTCATGATCATAATGAATGATGAATTCCCTCGGCCACAAGTAATACTGCCATGTTTGAAGAGTTCTCAATAATGCATAAAGCTCCTTGTCGTACGTAGGATAATTCAACACTGCCCTACTTAGCTTTTCACTAAAATAGGCAATTGGTTTGGAATTCTGCATCAAAACAGCTCCTAGTCCAATCCCCGATGCATCACATTCTATCTCAAAAGCTTTATCAAAGTTAGGTAAACACAACAAAGGTGCATTAGTTAGCTTATTTTTCAAAGTTTTGAAAGCCCGGTCTTGCACATCATCCCATTTAAAAACAACATTCTTTTTAACAAGTTCATTCAAAGGTGTAGCAATAGAACTAAAATCTTTAACAAACCTTCGATAAAAACTTGCTAAACCATGGAAACTTCTCACCTCGTTCGCATTCTTAGGTGTAGGCTAGTCCCATATTGCCTTACCTTTTCTTCATCAACACTAATACCTTGTGAATTAACAACAAATCCAAGAAACACAACATATTCCATTCAAAACGTGCACTTCTTAAGATTAGCATACAATTGGTGCTCCCTCAACACACTAAACACAACATGTAAGTGTTTCACATGTTCATCCAAATTTTTGCTATAAACCAAAATATCATCAAAGTAAACTACCACAAATTTTCCCATGAAAGCACGCAAGACATGGTTCATCAACCTCATGAATGTACTAGGTGCATTAGTTAAACCAAAAGGCATTACTAACCACTCATACAATCCATATTTAGTTTTAAATGCAGTTTTCCATTCATCTCCCTCTTTCATGCGAATCTGATAATAGCCATTCTTTAAATCAATTTTAGAAAACAATTAAGAGCCATGCAATTCATCAAGCATATCATCTAATCTGGGGATAGGATGTCTATACTTTACCGTTATCTTGTTAATAGCTCGGCAATCCACACACATGCACCATGTTCCATCTTTCTTTGGGACTAAGAGGATAGGAACCGAACATGGGCTAAGACTCTCCCTTACAAATCCCTTTTGCAACAACTCATCCACTTGCCTTTGTATCTCCTTCGTTTCCTTGTGATTAGCTCTATAAGTAGATTGATTTGGTATGGCGGAACCAGGTATGAAGTCTATTTGATGCTCAATTCCTCTTAAAGGCGACAATCCATGAGGAATCTCCTCAAGAAATAGGTCCTCAAATTCCTACAATAAAGACACGACAACACTAGGCAAAGATGAGTTAAGGTCGTTAGTAGAAAAATAAACATCCTTGTACAAAAGTACAAGTACTTGTTGCCTCGCCATCATTACACTCTTAACCTCATGTTTTTCAGCAAGTACACTTATTCTTTTATTTTTCTCTCATTCTTGCTAACTTTTCTCTCCTTTTTTCCTCTCGACCTCACTTGCTCTCTTTCTATTATCCTCTTGCTCACACTTTTGTTTCTCTCTCATTTTGCACTCTCTTGCTATCCTAATCTGGTCTTCATAAGCTTGCAAAGGTTTGAGAGGGGCTAGTACAACTTTTTGGTTGTTCATTACAAAAGAATAACGATTTTTGTACCCATCATGCGACACCCTCCTATCAAACTGCCACGGTCGGTCAAGCAATATATGACCAGCATACATCGGTGCCACATCACAAAGAACCTCATCCTCATACTTGCCAATTGAAAAAGGAACCCGAACTTGCTTGTTTACCTTCACTTCTCCACAGTCATTCAGCCATTGTAGCTTGTACGGTTTAGGATGCTTCTCCCACTTCAAATTTAACTTTTTTACCAACAAAGTACTAGCAACATTACTACAACTCCCACTATCAATAATCAACGTACATACCTTATCCTTCACGTGGCATCTTATGTGGAAAATATGCTGATGTTGCTCATCATCTCCTTCATCCTTAGGTTGTATACTCAAGGCTCTCCTTGTAATAAGTAAATCACCATGCACAGGTTCTTCCACTTCAACATCAGAATGATCCTCTAATGGTGGCATCTCATCGTCGCTTGAGCTAGCACTTTTGACTTCTCAATTTGGCCATACAACCATAACCTTTTTGTTTGGGCATTCGGAAGCAATATGTTCGAATCCTTGACACCTAAAACACTTAATATCACGTGACTTAGTAAGAGTTTTAGTTTCGCATTTACCTTTAGGAGCAGCAATCGAATTCTTCGACTTTTCTTCTTCTTTTGTTCTAAAGGTAGCTTTATTGTCCTTCCAATTTGATCTCCACGGAGAGCTAGAGGACGAACTAGATCTGAACCTCTTGGACTTGATTTGCTTCTCCATTTTAACGGCTTTGTGCAGTAGCTCCTCCATCTCTACGTAATGTTGCAACTCAACCATGTCAACAATCTCCTTGTTCAATCCGGCAATGAATCTAGCCATTGTTGCTTCTCTGTCTTCCTCTATGTTTGCTCTAATCATGGCGATTTCCATCTCCTTATAATAATCCTCTACACTCATGGAACCTCGAACCAGCCCTTGCAACTTCCTATACAAATCTGTATAGTAATGGCTTGATATAAATCTCTTGTGCATCACCAACTTCATCTATTCCCATGACCGAATTGGCCTCTCACCATTCCTGCGCCTGTTGATCGCCAATTGATCCCACCATATACCTGCATAATCTATAAACTCCACGACTGCTAGCTTTACTTTCTTCTCCTTGGAGTAATTATGACAATCAAATACGTGCTCAACATTTCTTTCCCACTCCAAGTATAGCTCAGGATCATTCTTTCCTTGAAAAGTCGAAATCGTCATCTTTATACTGCCTATATTGTTATCTCCTTTGGAGTCAACATTCTTGGTCCGTTTATAACCAGTGCTCTCCACTTCGGAATTAGCTTCGTCTTCTTCTTCGAACTCACGTCTTCTATGTGATTTAGAACCGGAAGAGGACTCCAAATCATTCAATCTCGCATTCAGCAATTTAAATTAGTCATTAACAGCCTTGATGAAGAATTTCATGTCGACGTCTTGTGGTTCTCCTCCTTCCTTACTCATGGTTTCAACCTGTAAAATTAAATAAAATAAAAGGTGTTGTTCCTCACACACTCCCTCATGTGTTTGCACTCAAATCAGATTGTTATCACTTGTGTTTCACACTATTTTGGCTTTTTCTTGATGATGATCTCTCTTGCCTTTTACCACTCAAAGCCAAGCCAACCCCCTTTATGTTCTTAACAGAATCAAAGAATTCACAAATCTCAAGAAGCAAAAGTTAGATGGTGACAATCTCAAAAATCATAACTTTAAAAACTTAGTTGAGGCAAACGGTGAACAGAAAAAAAGAGACCCAAGATGTCTTTAAAGAACGAAGAAAAAATAAGAAAACTCTAAAAGGAAGCAAAAGACATGTGAAAGCAATCACTAGAATTGACACTAATTAATTAAAAAGGCAAAAGACACAAAAGAACCTTGTATATAGTTGAAACAATCACTAGAACAAAAAAAAAATAAAGGGAAACTAGAACAAAATAAAAAGGAAACTAGAATAGAATAAAGGAAACTAATTCAACAAGAATAAGAAACTCAAGCAAGAAAACAAGAATTGGAAATTTAATTCAACAGAAATAGGATACTTATCAAAGAGAACAAGAATGGGAAATTTAACAACTCGAAATTGCCACTTTGTTCTTTTTTTTTTTTTTTTTTCTTTTTTTTCATTTTTTTTGCAGAACAAAGATGGATTGAACACAGAAAAATAAATCACAAGAAAATTTAATTTTTTTTTTTTTTGAATCAAGAACGCAAACAAAGAGTGTTTAAGATAAATAACATGTTTCCAGCAACCAAAGCTCTGATACCAAATGATAGAATAGGAACAAGTTGTTTTGCTAGGAACGTGTTGAGGATGATCGAATTAGAACCCTAAGGAAACTAAGTCCTTAAAACCCTAATCTTCAGACGCCACAAAGGTTGATCACTTCCTTTAATAAGTCGAGATTCACGCATTCAATCAAGAACACAAGAGGGCAAAGCAAATAGCTTTCTAAAATAAACTTCAATTAATAATAATCTGTCCCCAAAAATAACATGGCGGCTCCTTTTTATAAGCAACAAACCCTAAAAGAAAACCCTAGCTAATTGAAAAACGAGTTGGGCCTAAGTACAAGCGAATTAGACCTAAATAAACCTTAAATAAGTAAAAGACTAAAGAATCTAATGATAATTAAAACATAAAAAAAAAACCCAAGATTAAATAAACTAAAATTAATCCTTGCATCCAACTTGATCTTCTGAATCTACCCCTTGCATAAAAAGATAATAGGTCATCCTTGGTGAAGCTTTGAAATCTTCGAATTTAGTCTTAGAGTCTTCTAGTACAGCCTCTTTTTATTGCACTTCCATGATCAAGCCTTGCAAAGCCTCTTTCATCCTCTTTGTCTTTGCCCTAGTCATTGGACCGTCAATTCCTTGCAAATGATCTTGAGAATATTTGGGAACATCAATTTGGTCAGTACCTCGATCTCCATTACAGACATTTATAGCTTTTAGAAAAATCAATTACCAAAATATCTTAAGATTAAACATAAATTATAATTTTATTAAATATAAATTATAATTATTTATAAATAAATTTTAAAATTATATTAATAAAATAATTAAAAACTCAAAATACATTACTGGCCATCAAGTGATATTACACCACCAAGACCATTGAAATCACCGATCGGCGATCTACATAATTGTATCGACGATTTGTCAAAATTTGGTGGCATTAATCCGTAGAAAGCTGCCATATTTTGACAAACAACTAGCACAATTGTGTAAATTGTCGGTTGGTGATGGATTCTGGCTGCCTTCCGGTAAATCCGTCGGCCATTTTTTCTCCATTTTTTATTTTTATATTTTTAAAAATTATTATTTATGTGCTTAAATCCAAAGAGCTTATTAAAAGGGACTCAATTTATAGCACTATATTAGGTTCAAAACAATTATTTGAAGTTATAAAATAGGTTTCAATTTGGTGAATTGCTGAAAGTAGTGGTGTGGAAATCTAATCTTTTGGGACATTATTAGTTAACAACTGTCAAGGGAAGTTAGTTTTGCCACTGCTTAAGTACTAAATCCTGATAATACCTTCGTTTCTATTATTAGGAAGAATAAGAGTTGAATGAGAAAAAAATGGGAAACTTATAAAAAAATTCAAAAATACTACGTTTACAACCCAATTTCAAAATCTTCTATTACAAACCTAACGTGGCAGCAGAGTTGACACTATCACATCAACTGAAGACTTTAGAGATGAACGACCGTTCATTCATAAGGAACGATTGTTTCATTCATAAGAAATATTCATTTTTTTATGAAGGAACGATTGTTCCATTTATAAGGAACAACCACTCCTTATGAAGGAATGGTTATTCCTTCATAAGGAATGAACATTCCTCATGAAGAAATGGTTTTTCCTTCATACAGAACAACCATTTCTTATGAAGGAACGATCGTTCATCCCTAAGAAACGATTGGTCGTCTCTAGTCAAAGTCATTTAATGTTTTGGGTGTGATGGGAGTTGACGTGACAGTTTCTTGTTAGATAATCTTGGATCCTAGATGCGGAATTGACAAATAAAAGGGATCAAAATAACTAAAGGAAAAACAAGAAACTTACCTCTAGCCATTGATGCTCTCAATCACACACTCAGTGTTATCTCTCTGGTGTTTTGGCTTTTCTAAGCTCTCAGAACACTCAATATGATGGTGTATTTTGTTTGAGTTGAGTGAGTGAGCCTAGGGACCAAAATCTCAATTTATAGCCAAAGCTCCCATCAAGCTTTAATGGCCAAACTTAATGACTACCATAACTCTGGTTATAATGGTTACAAAAACTGAAAAAAAGAACGTTTGAAACTAAAGCAAAAAGTGGACCATTCATACTGATTTAATACAAAATCAACTTTTAACTTTATGTTGTGTAACATAAATCTTACATTCTCCCACTTGGTCCACACGTCTAAACCATTATTTTCTTAAGAAACAAATACATGAATCATGGCAACAAGTCCTCTGAAAACGAGTATTATCTTCCATGTATTACAATGGATTTAATTTCTCAAGTTCACTATATATATGGCGACTTCACTTAATGAATAAACCTTATGTTTATTCTTGGTCCTACAGTTGAATTTTCTAAAATAAAATTAAGGTGCACATGAATATGAGAAAACATCACAATAAATAAAAGTTTCATTCAAACATTGTATATACAACTACATAGTAGAATCAAGTCCCATTTTCTATACATGATCCTTGAATTTCAATGGTGGCATGCTCTTAGTCAAAGGATCAGCGATCATCAATTCGATACTTTTGTGCTCAATGACCACTTTCTTTTCTTTAACATGTTCTCTTATGGCTAAGTACTTAATGTCAATGTGTTTACTTCGACTTCCACTTTTGTTGTTCTTAGCCATAAAGACAACAACTGAATTGTCACAGTACATTCTCAATGGTCTAGAAATGGAATCTATAACTTTAAGCTCAGATATGAAACTCTTTAACCATACACCATGTGAAATATCCTCAAAACAGGAAACGAACTCAGGTTCAATAGTGGAAGTAGCAATCAAAGGCTGCTTGACACTTCTCCAAGATACAACTCCACTAGCAATTATGAAAACATATCCTGATGTTGATTTGTGTGAATCAACACAACCAGCAAAGTCTGAATCTCAATAGTTGATTACTTCTAGACTATCCGTCCGTCTATACATAAACATATAGTTTTTGGTTCCTTGAAGGTACCTCATCACTTTCTTTATAGCTCTCCAGTGGTCCATACTTGGATTACTCTGATATCGTCCTAACATTCCAACAACAAATGTAATATCAAGCCTTGTACAGACCTGTGCATACATCAAGCTTCCGACAATAGAAGCATATGGAATATTCTTCATTTGTTCCCTTTCAAAATCGTTCTTCGAGCATTGGTCCAATTGAACTTATCACGCTTCACAACGGGAGCAACATTTGGTGAACAATCTTTTATCCGAAATCTCTCTAAAACCTTTTGATATAGGTTTCTTAAGACAGGCCCAAGATACCTCGTAATCTGTCTCCATGGATTTTGATGCCAATGACATAAGATGCCTCACCCATATCCTTCATATCAAAATTTTCAGAGAGGAATTGTTTTACCTCATGTAGCAAACCCTTATCATTGGTTGCAAGCAAAATGTCATCCACGTATAAAACAAGAAAACATATCTACTCCCACTAACTTTCTGGTATATACATTATCCATAGGGTTTTTAACAAATCTGAATAAAGAAATTACTCCATGGAATTTAAAATACCATTAGCAGGACGCTTGTTTTAGACCATATATGGATTTCTTGAGCTTATAGACCAAGTGCTCACCATCACTAGAGGGAAATCCTTCAGGTTGTTTCATATAAACCTCTTCCTCTAGGCCTCCATTAAGAAATGTCATTTTCACATCCATTTGTCACAACTCAAGGTCAAAATAAGCCACTAATGCCAAAATGATGCACAAGGAATCTTCTTAGATACAGGAGAAAAGGTCTTCGTGTAATCGATTCCTTCTTTTTGAGTAA